GTTAAAAAGCTTCGTTTGTGTTCTACTGAAGAAACAAAGTCACCTACATCTTGGATGCCCTGTGGGTAAGCAGATAAACATCGAATTTTCATTTTTGGGTGAACTATCCCTTTAACAGTAACCCAATCACATTGACCCAATCTGTTACATAGATATTTTTTTAGAGATCTGCAGCTGTACTTCGTTTTCAAGCACCAGCAATGAAGTCAGCATAGCAAAGTGCCATTTTTTTTTTTTTGTCATTTTGAGAGTCAGTTTGTTCTTATGCTTAATTCTCTGTTATTCAAAAGAATATTTGTGGTTTCTATCACAACATAATCAGTTACATAAAGCACATTAATACCCTTGCACAGTAGACAATCTCTTATGGATGAGCTGAATAATCATGACACAGAAGTGGTTGCCATAGAAACTCATGCCGTGTAAGGCGGCAAAACACTAGTTGAACTTCGGCACAAATTAGTGTGTTCCATGACTAGCTCGGCTAGTGTCTCCATGGATTTGAGGTACAAAGATCACAGCAATCGGTTGTTGTAGATGTGTGTTCATGACTTGTAAAGGTGGCAAAGACATGAATCAATTCAACAGCATCTTCAGATCCCACATGCTAAACGGCATCCTGTTCCTCACACAGGAAAGAGCACAGCCGATGCTGTTTCCATGACAACTCAGCCAGGGGATAGCAGGTTCTATTTTTTCCCTTCTGTGCTGAATCCCAACCCATTACAGCAAGAGAAAAAAAATAAGATTTTTTTCAGCTGTTGTCTGAAGATAGCCTTGAGAGGAGCAACATGAAGATGAGCTTTGAGTGTCAGGTCTACAGAGAAGAGACTTCATATCACATGTCAAATGCAGATGCCATCTGCAACTTTCAGACAGTGTTCTGTGAAACCTTCTCCCAACTGAATTATGGGTCAGGGACACATATATCACACCAACTTATCAAGTTTTATGGATGGAATCTGGTGAGATATCCATCTCTCTTATATCTCAAATACTGACAGTTCATCTTAAAGGAGACCTATTATGACCCTTTTTACAATAGTATGTAATATAAGTCTCAGGTGTCTCCAGAATGTGTCTGTGAAGTTTCAGCTCGAAATACCCAACAGATCATTTACTATATCATTTTGAAAATGCCTATTTTGAGAGGAAGCAGAAACACACTGTTTTTGTGCACATCTCTTTAAATGCAAATGAGCTGCTGGTCCCTGCCCCCTTTTCCAGAATAGGGCTGTGCCTTTACAGCTTGTACCTCAGATACTCTGCTAAAAACATTTGTTTGGTTTTGATTATCGTGTCTATCGCACTGAAATCATGTGTTTTAAACCATATTAGTTTAAACTTTTGATATATGTTTTTTCTGAGCGCACGCATCTAAAGCACGCACACAGAAAGCAGCTGTCACACGGCATGTGAGTACTAAACTAAGTTCTCTTCCATGTCTTATTGCGCATAAACTGTCAAATACACAAGTTTATGTTAAAAACACACGAGTTACAAAAACAGTTGGTTATGTCTGTGAAGGTAAACAGCTGGGAAAGAAATTGCATGCTTATATTAGATGTGTGTGGTAGCAGCGTAATATACAGTAAATAAATCAACAAATCCACTGCTCTGTTGTCTCCTCTGAGCCTGTTTTGTGCTCTTCAGTGTAGCCAAAGACAGAACAGTATGCTTTGCTCAGACTTTGGTCATAGAGTTAGAAACACAATGGCGGCGATGTGGGCAGAAACTTGCAGATTAAGGGGTGATAATATTATAATAAGATCCCCTTTCTATGTCACGGGGGAGCGAAATCTGAGCGGCTAGTTTTTTTTTTTTCACAAGCTTGCAGAGAAAGGCTTACCAAAACAAATTACTGGGTTGTTCTTTTTCACATTTTCTGGGTTGGTAGATGCATGAAGGCTGCTAAAAATGTGGCCAATAACTGTTGTATTCCGTTTAGGAAATATCTAACCACTAAATGCTGCGACTGACCTATCAGAACTCAATATTTAATGCAATAAGTGATTATAAAACATGAAAATGCATCTATTATAATTACTTTTTTTTTTGTCCTTGAATACTTTGATTTGAAATGTACCAAAAAGCTAGATCAGAGTTTGTCCTGATTAATCACATCTCTGGACTGGGGAAATGGAAATATTGTAGTGGATGAATACAAATGATTTGTAATGAGACTTTGGCCACTGAGCCTAATATCAAAGTTTTTCTCCCTCGACCGGGTCACATATGAAAAATTAATTGCTAGGGCAAAATTGTGAATTCAAATTAAATCCAATGGACTGTCAATCAAAACATTGTGAGGATATAGTCCTACATTTCTCTTTTACCATTCTAGATGGAGAGACTGAGGTCATGTTACATCGCCTGGTTAATATGAAGTGATTTCTTCACCATTTTCTATTTTGGAAGGTAATATAAGTTCATCCTTATGAATATGTACATACAGAAATATTTACATGTCTTTTCCCAAATCTTGTAATATAAATTATGCAGTGAATTGGTGTATTATTTAAAACACAATCACATTTTCGAATTTGGGATTATTGGGATTACCGCAGGAAATTTTCTTGCCCCAATTTTGTCTCATGTAATTCCACTTATAATGCGTATGTTTTCATGAAATTGTAATCCTGTTCTTGCAGCCCACTCTCTGGTTGCTCTGCAGACCCCAGGAAATAGCTTTGGGGCTTCATTATGAGACTGGCGAGATGAAAGGTGAGGCTGTATGAGGTATTGATGTCTCCACTGCACTGGCATATTCAGGGCAGTATTTTGTTCCTCCTGCTGTCATCTAGCTGCGCTGTGCTTGAGTTTATCAATGATGGCTTTTGATTGAGTTGCAAAAAGGGGAAGCTGAAGCGCAGATAGACATCTTGGACACGGCAATGGGTTTTGAAGTTTAGCCCAGCAATCCCCTGTCTTTTTATTGACCTAATGACTGGAGATAACCCAAAGGTCAGTGTTTTCTGACTGATGTGGATTTAACCACAGCTATAACCCTCCTTTTGTCTGTGTATCAGATGGCACTGCCTTATTCTTAGCAATGCATCTTTGAAGGTCTTTTGAGGATGTGTTGTAAATCTTATAGTAATTTAACTGGTAACCACCCTATTATTGATGGACACTTTCTGCATCCATGCTACGAAGTGTCAAAATAAATGCAAGATGGCACAACATAAACCTTTTACATATTATCATTGGTCAAATATAAATATGAGCAGGGTGCTTTGTTTGGAAACCCAGTAGAGGAACGGAAACAGATCAGGTGGTCTTTTAACAGAAGCTTTGAGTCTCGAGCCAGATATCTGCTATTTTGTTTGCCATCAAGCATCTTTTGAAATGCAGGGAATGTATTTGAAGTGTCCCAAAACACAAAAGTTCAGATCATGAAATGTGGAATTAGATAAAGAGCCCGTTATTTCTAAAGTGCCCTTCTAAGTCAATACATACCCTTGTGTGCAAATGCCCAAAGAGCCTTTAATATTTTGAGACTAGATGTTAGATGAAATGTTAAATGGATGTCTCCAGAAGTGTTGGGCACCATATGGACTGCAAAGATGGAAGGGAGATTATGTAGAAAGAGCAGGGGGAGGGTATCTGTCATTTTGGAATGTGTGACATTCATTAACACCAATGCAGAGACGTCACAGCATGATAATTTATGATAAAAAACACCTCTCCATTCCTCTCACTTCCTATCAGCTAGCAGACATTTAAATCCATCCCAACCCAACAAGGAATGAGTGGAAATCACTTCATGAATTATCTATTTGGAAGAATGAAATGGTGTGTTTGATTGAGTCATTTTGTCGGTGATTACTGGAAACACTTTAAAAAGAATCATGCTAAAATTACTTTTTTACATAAAAAATGATCCAAATGATTAGCACATATTTCTCAGAAGTCTTGAAATGTTCTGTAAAATGGCGTTTAGATGAAGCTCTGCAACCTCAAACGCCTGCAGAGTATATTTTGTTGCTTCCTGCTCAGGACTGGATTTGCTATAATCATATTGGTCATTGAAAACTGCAGTCGAAACATAAGACTATTAGTCAGCTTTTATTTAGAAAGGATCCCAAAAAATAAACAAGTTGGCACACATTCATTTACAAAATGGTAGAGAGAGCAGTCCTTAAAATTACATGGTCTTTTTCAACTAATAGTGATTATATCATGACAAAACCAAAAGTCTTAACCAGTCTCCCAGTCTAGTATGGAAGACTGAGGAGAGAAAGGCTGAAGTGAGAAGGAAAAAAAAATCATACAGAAATGTACATAACTGTGACCATTTTCTGAGCTTACAAATGTACTCTCGCTTTTGGGGACATCTTTGTTTTTAATCTCAGTTTATTGCAATATCAAGTGTTAACTGTTATAGTTGCCATTGCTTTTTTGGGAAATAGTAGTTTAACTGCGATATAATAAACTGTGGACTATTATCATTATCAAACAAACTGTTCTCTCGTGGTAGGTTTCATAAATACTGAAGAATAAGCATAGATGTTTTGGCCTGTAATACGGCATTTCTTGCCTTTTATGAAAAATATATGTAACTTGGATGCTTGGAAAACAAATTCTAGATGCAGAGTGGAAATGTAAAAAAGCCATACTGTGGTCTGAAAGCTAAATTTGCTATAAGGTAAAAACAAACCAGCAAAAATGTAAATAAAATCCTTGATAAATCACTGTATATACCATCCAACTGAACATTTAGTAACAAAACTTACAGAATGTATTGACTACATTCACATTGATGACAGATTAATATATGACTATATTTATCAATAATTTTGGCACAATTAATTATTTGGCATTTTTAACAGAGCATTTTGTTGATGTGTATGCTTCTATTAATTTCACAGCAAAACATATGCAATAATACAATAGGTACTTTTTTTTTTAACATTTTCCTTTTTAAGTTCATATTGTAAACACGTTTTCTTTTTTAATATTATAACCGCTACCCTGATTTTCTTGATAAACAAAAAACAAAAGTCGATGAAAGTAAGAGATCATAACCGCGGCACCCACTTTTCAAACAGATTTCAAATGACAAGCATTGCTAGATATTTCCTATTAACACCAAAATGTTAATGAATGTATCAGAAGAGGACTAATAAATTACAAGATAAGCAACATATTTGGCATTAAAATGTGAAACTAGTAGCTAAGCTCTTAAAAGTATGTTGAGATTATGATTTACAGCTTTAATTAACTGGAATGTAAGCAGGTTTATTTAAAAGCCATTTCTGTGAAAATACATAAAAATACTTTTTCATAGAGATTTTTTGTTCGTTTTATTAATAAAAAGACATTTCACATCCTGAAGCAGATGATGGTAAAGTGTGCTTGAGCTGAAATAGACATCGGAACGGCGTCAGCTATGAAAACAGACAGACTTTATTAACTTCTCTCTTTCCCGCAAAGAGCTTCTATGTGTTTCAAGTTGTCGTCAAAAATATCCGTTACAGGGGGTAGATGTCATCAGCTCGCTAAGTGAGTGTCTTTGTGTCAGTCGGTGTATTTCCAATAGAAGAGTGCATCTTTTGTTATAAAGGGCCAAGGAAGGATTATGTCTCTATGACATCAAATGAGGCCTCCGTCCTCCATTCAGGTGAGAGATAGGGGAGAGAGCGACAGGAAAGAGAATAGAACGCGCTCTATTGAAAACCATTGTGTAAGGCACTCGGCAGGTTCTTATCCATCAGGAGAGATCAGTCAGACTGATGTTCATTCCCACACCAGGTCTAACAAAGGGCACCGCATGTACTGCTTTGGGGAACTCAGGACTCATCACACGTCCATTCTCGCCAGTACTCCCAGTAATAGACAGTCTCGCTTTGCTCCTCGTAGCATCTGAAAAGGTCACCTGGAACACGCACATAGATGCGAACGGAGAAACAAATATCCACGCACACACACCAAACAGAGAGATGAAGGAAAGTTAGAGCGGATTTCGCAAACTGGCTTCAAGCTTATTTTTAAAATGTTTAGTTGAAAATGTAGACATGAATTGATGTGGTGGAAAAACATCAAAAATGAGGAGCAAAATCGCGAGCAATCACCATTTAAAAAATCATATCGCAAGCAGGCAATGAGGGAGATGGGTATGGAGGCTTGTTTCTGTCATATAAAATAAAAAAGGTAATTGCGACTTTTTATCTCACAATTCTGACTTGTTTTCTCACAATTGTGAGTTTATATCTCAAATTTGCAAGTTATAAACTTGTATTTCTGAGTATATATCTTGCAATTCAGGTTGTTATTTATTTTATTTTATTTCTGGTAATTTCACGTTTATATTCTCACAGTTTGGACTTTTCTACTAGGTCTTAACATCTCACAATTCTGACTTAAAAAAAAAATTAATCTCATAATTTTGCAATTTATAAACTCGTAATTTGAATTTTACATCGCTTTTTTTCTCTGAATAATGATTTTACGTCTCGCTTATATCTCTTAAAATTGTGTTAATATCTCACAATTGCAAGTTATAAACTCATAATTCTGAGTTTACATCTCGCAATTCAGTTTTTTTCCCCTGTAATAGCTTGTTATTCTCACACTTCAGACTTTTCTTCTTAACATTTCGCAATTCTGTTCTGAGTTCAAATCTCACAATTCTGACTTCTGACATATAAACTCAGAATTGCAAGAAAAAAGTCAGAATTGTGAGATAAATAGTCACAATTACCTTTTTTTTTAAATTCTTTGGCAAAAATAAGCTTCCATATGGATGGGTGATACAACAACAGTCATACTTGACAATGGAGTTGACAGAACAAAATCACACGAGATGTACAAAAAACTTTTCTCTCCAATATATGTGCAGTGGACTGAGAGAAAGGAAGTTTTTTTTTTTTCCCACTAGGAACACCAGTACATACGATCCAGCTTACGGTCAAAATCTCCTCATTCAATAGAACATTCAGGGAATGGAACAGATGGAAGCCAAAAGAAGCGTGCACGGGGACAGACTGGAATGACGGCCGCGTATCCTACCCCCTTAAATTTTTACACTTTCGATCCCATATACGTTGTACCCTTCCTTATAAGTGGCAAAATTCTGTGAATTCTGCGAGGAAGTGGGATTAATATTCTGTGCATTCTTTGCCACCTTCATGCGCTTGGCCTCGGCTCGGGACTTGTAACAGAACTCGACCAAGGCCACCAGCATGGCCAGGCCCAGGCCGCCCACTAGGATGTAGAAGACCCCAGCCACATTGCTCAGGCTGAGAGCGCTGGTCTTCTCCTGTAAATGCATACGAGACACGGGTCAGCGGTCAGGGAAAGTACAGGATCTCAGTAATAAGCATTCAAACTGTATGCATAAATAACAGTATATTTAAGTGGCAGTTTTATGTCTATGTGGATACAAATGCACAGCTCAGGACAGTAATGCTAAAACAACAATTGTACTAAGTAGAATGCGCCGCTGGTTAATGTGCCTTTGAAGCGATGCAATGGGGGTATTCAACAATTCTGCTTGAATGGGAGGGATTTACTAAAGCCTTTAACATTCGCTTGAAACTTATATACAAAACCAACATTGTGGTTTATAAACACAGCTCTTACATTCCCGTATGCTAATGGCTGTAGTAAACATTATTTCTTTGTTGAATTCACAGTTATAGCAGGGGTTAATATGCTATGCTCAGCTGTGATATGAATTACGCCTGTCTAAGAAAGCCTACAGGACCATTTAAAGGGATGCTCAAGAGAGAGGCATCTGGATGGAAGGCATAGCATTAGACACAGGGAAGCAGATGACAGGCATAGTAGGTAAAAGGCAGGAGTTTAACACAAATACACACCTACTAAAAGGTCTTTGGGGAGAGGAGCTGTCATTTAAATATTCTTTTCTAAATATTAGTGTACTGTACTGTGCACAAAATGACCACGCATAAAACACACAACACATAGACAGATACAGAGCTAACATTTTTGAAAATTGACTTTTTTTGCTCTGCAAAACACCTTTAGGATCTGTCGACCTGTTTTAACCTGGAATTTTTATTTAAAAATAACGTATAAAGACATTTCATTGTTTAACAATTTAACCACTTAAAAATAATAATAATAATAACAATTTAACCTTTAAAAATGTGTTTTGTTGATTTTTGTTTGTGTGACTGTATGCAGTTGGGTTGATTCAGCTATATTAAATAATATTTTTGACTTGAATAAAAAAATTTTAATATAGGGTTTTAGGTTAGCAGAAAAAAATTGATCAATCAATAATCTGAATATTCTGATTAATCTAAATAATCTGATTAGTCACTAATCTGAATATTGCCTATAGTGGTTGAGGTTGTGCTTTGATTACGTGGCTATGAAAACATCCTACGCTACGTTGCAAAGAGCATTGTTTTATATACCCATATTTTGTTGTATTATAAAAGTGCAAACATGGCAAAGCATGATGTATCAGGTTTCACATACTGTACATATAAATATTTCTGTAAGCATCAACACAAAGCACATCAACACAATATGTCAGTTGACAAAACACAACCAAACAGCTGAACACACAATGAAACAAAGACATTTAAGAATCTTGGACACCCTTGTAGATGGTCCTACAAATGACCTGAGAGAAATCATGTTCGTACTTGAACAATTTGAAGTCTTTCGTTGTATGTGCTGGATATGAATGTCTGAGAACTGCTATTCTAAGCTCAGGTCTGCAAGTAATAGCAGGATCTGTGATTCTCAGATTGAGAAGCTGGAAGGAGACCACTGGTTGTGTTACAGATATTACAAAAAGTGCGTATGACTGAAGTGGCATGCATTACATTTTAATTATCAGTGGATGGTACCAGATATTAGTAGCTCTGCAGGCATTAGTCAAAGAATCTCACCAAGGCATCTCATGCTTGTCTGTGCATTGTCTGTCTACATTTTTTAATTATTTTTTTTTTTAGTCATTATTATTTAAATATGGGTTATTCCCACTAATCAAAAGTGTGCTTGATCACATAGAACCTGCAGCGACTAACCTTACTTCCAGAGTCCTTGGCTCCACATTCACCTTTATCGTACCACCATTTGTTTTTCAGCTTGTCTAAGGTGCCTTGCTCACTGAGTTTCAATACTGCAAGGTTTACTGGCGTTCTTCACGTGGGAAATAACATAAATAACATTATCAATGTTATTTTATGTTATTATTACATCACACTGATTCAACTCTCTCTGAGAGTTCACCTTTTCTCTCCTCTTTTCTTTATTGCCGTAGCGATTATGACGTTGATGCGCCATTTGGCCTAAGCAAATGCAAGTTTTGCAGAGCCAAATGTGCATTAACGTATCGCCTGAAGTAAGCAGCAAGGGCAACAGCAATGTACGCTACACACGATGACCAATCGCAGAGTTTTGGTGGTTTTGTTTATATGTGTGTCCTCTAGCAATGGTTAGCAATGCTTAACCTGTCAGTGTTGTGGAAAATGTCCACCTTTGGACTTTTGGATCCTGTGCTGTTTTGCTGCTTACTTGAGTGTTGCATTGAGTTACCCATCACTTTGCTCTCTGGGGCTGACCTTGGAATCACCTCCCCCGCTGCCGCACTCTCCCTTGTCGTACCACCATTTGTTTTTCAATTTGTCCAACAGGCCTTGTTCATTCAGTTTTAGTACTGCGAGGTTAACCGCATTTCTTGAAACGATAAAACATAACTTGTAAGACAGGGTGAGCCAACTTAGCAATTGTCAATGGTCCTCTTTCAAACCTGAAGACTGCTTTCCTCTTTTTCAGCATTTTAACATATGCATAAGAAGAAATCATGATATCTCCTCCCTTTCAAAATCTGAAGCTGTTAGAAGACTAATAGCATATATTAGCTGAGTTTAACTGACGAAAGTGGCTCAGAGTGCCGTGAATAGAGAAGTTTAACGCAGTACTCACATCCATAACTAATAGCAGTGGCCTGCAAGTAACATTACTAGAAGAAGGACAGCAGAACAGCAATAAAAGTTGGTTATATCTTCATCATACATAATTCAATCTTCTCCTAAGGCCCACCCACCCACTTTTTAAATCTGTCCAGATTGGTTTCTGTTCACAGGAGGAGAAATTGAATCCCACTAAATGAAGACTGTCTCTAATAAGGCAATATGAAATGCATCTCAATCAAATATCAGCATATCTTCAATAAATGCATTAACATTGGTAAACCCAAGCAGTGCCACCTGTTACATGAATATGGCTAAATTTGGTTCAATCGGCCAAATTGGAAGTTCAAAGCACATCTTTGTTAATGTTCTTTAACGAAAAATGTGTACTGCAAGGGTTTGGTAAAAACATTTCAGAAATCACATTATTACAAATAAACAAAGACAGCAATAATTCATGAATATAGAAAAATGAGAGACATGATAGGAGAGGATATTAGGCAGAACCTTGAAACATTCAAAAGACAAAAAACAAGACACAACTTTTGAAAAAGACAAAATCTCAAAGATATTAATTTATATATTAGCATTCTGTTAATCTTGAATTCAAAGCATGAACAAATGTACTAATGTAAAATTTAGAGTAATGAGGTATTTGAATATAGAATGTATATAAAATAAGCTTTTAATTTATAATTATTAATGTAAGTGTAAATAAGATAAAAATAATGAGGTATTTTTTAATATGTAAAAAAATCTGCATGATAAATATTTTCCTTTTTTTTTTTTTTTTTAAATAGATTTTTTTTTATCCATTTTTTATTTGGCTCTAATGTATCCGGCTACCACATTTATCTCTTTTATACAAACCAGGACACATGAGCACAGCTACATCAGGGTAGGTGGGATACTATAACAACATTGGACACATTGTTATACTATTCCACCCACCTTAATGAGGATCCTTTGGGGGTGGCGATGCCGTAGCCTTTGGAGTCCAGGTTTCCTCCGACCTTCATAGTGTCACAGGGTTTGCGCTGCTCGATGTACTCGTTCATGGTGGACTCCAGCAGGTATGCATACTTCCCCTTGGACTTCCTCACCCGCATTACACCTTCTGCTGTCGTCTTAACAAATACAGAGGGCTCTGCGCTTTTCATGTATGTCCACATTTTGTCAAAAAGAGCGATTTTGGAACGCTGGAAAGAAAAAAAGATGCATGGATTAATATGAACTCTTTACAATCTCTCAAAATGGTTAAACCAAACAGGTAGTTTCAGTTTACTGTAACTACAATCAGCAAAGCAGTCTTGGATTTAGCATTTAGGTTCACATTTTATATTAGCCTTTGAAACATTCAACAAAAGAGTGTTATTAACAGTAGTTAAAACCAAATTGCAAATGCAAAATTAAAGAAAAAGTAGGCATATGGATTATAGGGATTACAGTGAGGAAAAAGAGCTCTTACCCTGAAAAACTCTTTTGTTGAACCAGAATCTAAAGTTCCATAAGCAATCTCTGATTGCTTTGCTAAGTCCTCTGCACTTTCAATTGGAGACACCATCCTCTCCACTGTTAGGAAGGCAGCCAAGTTAGCCGTGTAGGATGAAATTATGATCAGGGTGAAAAACCACCAGACTCCTCCAACTATGCGACCAGAAAGAGACCTGATGAAAAATGCCCAATGGGAAATATTAGGTATGACAGCATGATCACAGTTAAAAATCTCGTTCACAACTAATAGGCTTCAATAAAAGCAAAATATGTTCAATTTAAATGCAACTCCACTGTATTTCTGAAACTGTTAAGTCTTGTATGATCTCGGAAAATATATTTATGAGTTGGTGACTAAGGACTTTGAAGTCAACATGAAGCCTGAACAGATGTTTCACTAACCATTTTAAGGTATTTGTGAAAATAGCTGCTAGGCAGAATTTGCTTCGCCTGCTTAGATGAGTGTATCATGCATAATGAATAACGATCTTCTAAATATGTAATGTTTTAGTGTAGTATATTTATTAATTTCAACATAGATATAACTAATAATTCATCATAAATCAATATATTTTGACCAAAAAATCAAGGCCAAGCAAGATCAAGAACAAACCTTGGTGAAATATCACAGCCCTGTCTCATAAAAGCTCCAAGAGAGAACCAAAGGCTGTTGAAAATCCCAAACTCGTTGGTTGACTCGTTGGTCTGTATCTGGCCATCCTCATATTCCTCTGTGTGCCACTCATATGGACTGAAACGACTGACCAGGAAAAGCACCACGCTTACGCCGATGTAGGCAAACACGATACACATCCAGATCTCATAGGCCAGCGGGTCCAGGAAAGAGAAAACACCAGGCTTGGATTTCTGAGGCTTCTTGATCATGATGGAGATGCCCAAACTCATGAATGGCTTTGAGAAGTCGATGACTTCTTCTCTGACTAAAGTGATAGTCAGTGGAGCCACTGCTATGTCAGCTTTCTAAAATCAAAGAGATTTAATATTCATTCCTCATAGGAAATGTTGATGCTAACAGTTTAGAAGCTACTTATCAGTTATGTCCAACTTTGAAGGTTTTAAAACTATATATCTTTCTTACCCCATAAACCAACTCTCCAACCATGCCATTCCAGATCTTCGTCTCTGCATCTCTGGCTCCATATTTGCCATCTCCTACTATTTTCAGCTGATATTTAAATCCACAGTGTTTTGCTATTTCAGCTGCCAAGTCCACACAGTACCCCTCATATCTTTCATTATCCACAAAAAGGTCAGCATTCTTCTTTAGCATTACATACGGCGCTTCCTGAAAAAGACAGCAGGGAACACCTTGTCAAGGAGCACGTACTCCAACAATACAGCATAATAGTATGGAAAACCACAACTGAGACCTACTAGAATAGTGGTGACGATCACAGTCTTGTTTTCCAGCCCCATTGTATCATTTGGGACGAGATCAGACTTTGTCACAACCATTTTGTCAACTTCATTCCAATAGCCAATCTGAAAAAGAGAGGCATTTGTGAGTAACTTGTAACACATGATGTGAAATAATAAATGCTGCTTTCCTTTCTAATATACACTTTTCTTAGAACCAAGCCTTACCTTAACTGGTCCATTGCTTTTCAGTTCCATGACATTGACTGTGTAATTCACCCTTTTTCCGTATTGGTCAAACTGAATATTACCAGTGAGACCATCAACTCTCACCTGCATGAAAATTATATGACAGAAAAGGAAAATCATTTTTGAGGGATTTTCTTTTCTTTTTCAAAAAAAGTTCAAATATCTAAAATGGCCTCTAAAAGTGACAATCTGGGTTCAAAATCTTATTTAAGCTAAGATTGTATTTTACAAATACTTCAACAACCCAGTATAAACAATAAAATTATATAGATTTCCTAGTGCTCATTGGGCAAGTTGGCATAATGACTTGTCACCTGTTTTAGGGCACGCTCTATCTCCACCCCTTGTGCCCAAGGTACAGCAGGATTGGCCAGGCAGTCTCCATTGTTAGCTCTACGGGAAATGTCAATTCGCTGTTTGTGCAGATAACGGAAGGCCTCAGTCATCACCTGAACTGCATCATATGTCAGTGCTGAAGTGTACTGGATACAGAGAGAGAGAGAGAGAGATGGTAAGGAATTAGTTGACAGGGTTGGAGAAGAAAATCAGAAATATACTTGTACTGTAGGTGATAATAGCAGTTCTAGTGTTCAATTCAATGCGCATTCACGAGAGCACCGCGCATGCGCATGGTGCTACTGACGCAGGAGTCGGTGTTCTGACGTAGAACCCGGATACACTGCGGCTTGTTTACAAGCAGAGGAATGCACACGCATGCGTTGTGGTACTCTCGAGATTGTAGGGAAAAATTGTTGAATAGTTATTTTTGTTTTTTTTGTTCACAACAAGTATTCTCATAACTTCATAAAATTATGGTTGAACCACTGATGTCACATGGACTATTTTTTAATGATGTCCTTACTGACATTCTGGGCCTTGAACATGGTAGTTACTTTAGTTGCTGCGTTGCTGTTTATGCAGGGTCAGAAAGCTCTCGGATTTCAGGCCTTACGGGTTTGGAACGTGAGGGTGAGTAATTAATGTCACAATTTTCATTTTTGGATGAACTATTCCTTTAACATTTATTTGGTAAAGCTGTCTCAGGAAATAACAGCAGTTATATGAATTTCATTACATTTGAATTTGTTTGCTACCGCATTGTACATTCAATTCAAATTCATGAATGTACTGTAATTTAAAAGGCGTTCTCAATTCTAAATTATGCATTTTCAGGATTCATTGGTAATGTAAGAATGAAACACTTGATTTCAGTCCCAGGAAATTAAGCACCTACTTAGTCTTTGTAAATTGGCGAGAAGACAGATGAGACTACATTTTATCTGGAGTTGAAAATGACTAACAAGCTTGTCCTGCAAATGGCCTGAACTATACGGGCATTTAAATGAAGAAGTTTTATGTTCATGTAGCAATTACCTGAACATCTCTTTTAATCATATTTAGTGAAGCTGTCTGAAACAGTAAAAGGGACAGTCACACACACACACAGATCTCACCCGTATCTTGCTGTCTGCTCCAGGATATTCTTTTTCCTCCAGGGCTTCCCAGCGCTGGTCAAATTTAGATACCAGAGGGTCATCGAAATCCACAATCTGAAAGCCTGAGACATTAGCTCCACCGTATTGGATTTTTGAAAGATCTCCATCCACAAAACCCTGAAAACATGACATGGTTTTCTCAGCATTTTTGCACATTTTCAAAAAGACGTGTTGTTCTTTGTTAGTGTTACATTTTAGATCATTTACCAAGTTTGCTATGATGTAGTGATATCCTTTCACATGCCTGCCAATAGTTATGACCTGCAAAGAGAATAATGAAGCTCATCAAATCAATGAAATAAAAATAAATGAAATAAAACTACACTTCATAAATGTATTTTAGATAATGACAAGAGAATGTGTACTGCTCCACAATGCCAGCCAGAGAGATGGACTGAAATAAAAGCAGCTTGAGAGGTTTGTGTGCTGACAGCAAGGTACTTGTGATGTGCATGTGCAAGTGTGTGTAGATAAAGCTATATTATTGAGTCCAGATCAGTTGAATTGATTGTGGCGGTTGGTTAAACACACTTATGCAGGCCTTAAATACAAATCAATAGCTATTCCCTTAGGGTGCAGCGAGTGTGATTGTAAATCCCATCTCATGAGGACTTTTCTGCCCACTAATGGCATCTGTTTGTGCCGGCTAATTAATGATTCATAGTTATGGTGCTCTTAAAATGTACTTAGTTGCTTTCATTATTATTTTTATAAGTATTATGTAGACTTGTGATTGAAGACAAAAATTACTTTTTGAATGTCACTTTCTTATTTTTTTACATTACTGTTTAAAAGTTTGGGGTCTATAAGTCTCTTATGCTCACCAATGGTGCATTTATTTAATAAAAAATATTAAATTATAAATAAAATACTTTCAATATTGGGAAATGTTTTTACAATTTAAAATGACTGCTGTCTATTTTAATACATTTTAACATGTAATTTATTATGTGATGAAATGCTTAATTTTCAGCAGCCATTACTCCAGTCTTCAGTGTCACATGATTCTTCAAAAATCATTCTAATATGCTGATTTTAAACATTTCTGATTATTATCAGTGTTGAAAACAGTTGTGCTGCTTAATGTATTTCTTTTTCTCAGTAATCTTTGATGATTAGAAAGTTCAAAAGAACAACATTTATTTGGAATATAATTTTTTTGTAACATTATATATGCATTTACATTAACATTATATATGTCGCTTTTGATCAATTTATTTAAAATCGATTATTGGTTAATGAAAGGAAACCAAGTTAAAGAAAAAAAAACATCTTGCTGACCCCAACTATTAAATGCTGAAGTATTTGTTTTGCTTTGATTTGCTTGTTTGCATGCAATGTCTGCATTATTTCAGCACCCATACAAATGACAACAACCTAAATACATATGCAGCTAAACCAGCACATATTAGGAGCATGTTTTTTAGCTGAAATACTGCAGGCTAAGGTGACAATGTCATAATGTTGATTACATCAGAATTATTAAGTGTTTATGCATACGTTGATATGTATACCTGTTCCATGATATCTTTAACTTTGTCCTGCTCACAGTCAAGGATGATTCTCCGCTCCTTCTTGTTTTCTAGGTCCTGAAAGAGTGAGCGATATGCTTCATCCTTTCTCTCATCCTTCATGTTGCCCACGTTGATGGCGGTCACCTGCCATTTCTTCTCTGCTGCTGTGTCCAGCACAACTTGGAGTGTGGTAAGTCCTGATTATGATGAAGAGGAACAGATTAGGTTTTTGGAAGATGCTAGGAATCTATCAAAGCTACAAAGGTCAAATTAGGCTGATTAAAAAGAGTTTTAATAAAGGTACCTCTGCAACGAAATATGCAACATTTCAGATGCTTCACTTTTGGATTGTTTGAGCTAGGCAAGTCATGATATGTTATTTTTCTTATGTAATTGTTTCCATTTCTTTGCATGATTCACACCATTTTGAAGTACTGGTTGCCAGTTACGTCCTTAATAATACTCCATGGAGGATTTGATACAGATAATAAGGCTCTAAAATTGGCATTTTCATTTCTGTCAGTCACAGGGGAGGTAAACAACTAAGCGTGACGGCATAACAGCTACAGCACTTGTTTATAAATAGTCAATGTGAGTGAGTGTTTGTATTCTAGATATGTGTATTTGATTTTTAAGAATATGAAACCAGTGTATTGTGTTTCAACCAAGTACATTAATTGTGGGTAAAATCTCTGGGAGTGCGAGGCACAGTGGGCTCCCGTGTTTAACCTTTGTTAAATGTGCGGCTTAGAGACATGAGGATCAAGGCTTACAGCTACTCTTGGAGATAAGTGATTAAAAACTTGTTAGTGAAGGCTATTAATGCTAACAAATGAGATGATAGCATTCACTCCAACACACTCCAAAATCACTTCTGAATCTAG